ACGCACTTCAAAAAAGGATCTACAGTGGTCTAAATGTCTGTATAGACATTGGGGACCATTGTAATAAACAACATTGGACAGCTACTCTGCTTATTGGGAAAGACCAAATAAAAGTCAAGAAAGAAGTACACAAAATGTTTCTGACAACATTAAGTTGTGCATGGATGTGGAAATCTTTAGCATACTAAAGAGTGGACCGCTGCTATTCAGTTGAACTGGGATGAACGATCAGTGAAGAAGAAAATAACCACTCCTGAGACTAATCAGGTGAAGTATAGACCTGCACTAAAAACCTTCAAGTTCTTCTTCAGAGGAAACTACTGTCAGCTCACGTTCTGAACCTTGACTTCAAATGATACCGCTTCAGGACACTTATTTATGTAAGATATCTCTCCTTTATTCCAGTCCAAGTGTGCTTCCCACACCCTGAAGCCCTCCCAGTTCTCAAGCTTGGCATGCTATCACCTCTGAAAAGCTGCTGCCCCCAACAAACACCCAGCCTCCACTTCCTCTGCTCTGCACAGAACCCCTGAACAGGCTTCAATGGTCTCCCCTCCCCCATCTCCTTCTCACCCCAACCTTCCTCAGCAACACTGTGCTGGTCCCCTGGAACTTCTTTTGACAAAGAATGAAACACCTCCCACTCCCCCTGGTCACCCTGGAGCCTTCCCTAACTGCTGCTGGATGCCCTTCCAAAATGGGGTTGGGCTGGCAAGTGATGTCATCCAGGATGGTACAGAAGACTCCAGGTACCACAGGCCAGCCTCTTGGGAATGTAACCCTGCTTACATGAAGCAGAAAGTTTTTAATACTTACTGAACTGAGATTAAATGTCATTTGTATTTACCTTGGCTCCCCATCCAGAATCTGCTAAAAGTTTACCTCCTGTTTTTCCATGAGCTCTTCTTGTCATCTACATCGTTCCTCTTCTATCCATAATAAAGTACATATGAAAAAAGGTTCATTTTTAGAAAAATTCAAAAGCTTGTACATTTCTTTAAATTAAAGGTTTTTTTTTAATCTATACTGTATATTTCATCATATGCTGGCCTGGTCAAGAATTATCCTTCCATATTTAGTACTTTAGAGCTAAGTTTTTAAACAGTGTGATAATAGAAAAGTGTGGGATGGTATTCCATGTACTTATATTTTTGTGAGTGTTTAAACATTTTAATAACAATATATTAAAAAATAAAAATAAGGACTGCTTCTGTGTAACAGTTGCCACCCTTATACAGGTGCACTGGTGTATACTTGTCACCTCATCTATTCAGTAGGCCAAGACAGAATATCTCAACTTTGAGGCAAGTTTCAACAACTTAATGAGAGATTGGAACAAAAATGTTTTTAAAATTAAAAATATATAAATTCGGTTGTATGGTAAAGTGCCTCTGGATTCATTAAAAAATATCAATGAAAAAGGTGGGGAGGGGCTGGGGATGTGGCT